AAAATCAAATGCTATTGGACTGACAACAATTGTGTGTTTAAGGTAACACCCTAATAACTATCCAGATAGGAAATAATTGTATTTCGTAAATTTTTTTTTTATTTTTCTGTCCGTCATTTATACTTAATATGTTTACTTTAAGAAGCCATTAAGTGGTTTTATCAACCAATAACATACAAAAAGACTCTCAAAGAAAAGACTCTTTTTATATTTAAATGCGCCTTATTTTTTTGGGAAAATGTGGAAATAAACAGTTTGAAGTTGGCAATTTGGCTGCAAAAAAATTCATCTAAGTTGGGTTACAATAAACACAATTATATTATTGGCCTTATAGGCCTAACCCATTGCACTTTCTGGTTTTATTTATGGGGTGTTTCTTTATGTTATTTTTAATTGTTTTTATCTAATTAAACCTTCAGATGCATATTGAGGGAATGATAAAGTCCAGTTCAAATAATTTTTGCATGTGTTCAAAAGTTCTTATAACCACTGAGATTTGCCAAAAACCTTTAAATTGAAAGAAAATCTAATGTTCTTTCTTCATATTCAAAGTGCATGTGTTTACAAACATTTGCATGCAAAAGTAGTGGAATTGTTAGTGGCTATGCCACCAAATTTAGAAAAAAATTGGATATATATATAGGAGTTGGTATTTAAAGTTTCTATCATTACCTCTTAGCATCTAGTTAGTTTTAGGGACTAGAAAACTTACTTGGACTAATAATTGTCTAATTACACTAGGTTTTTGCTTAGTGATAATTGATGTCTGGAGATTGAGAACTTTTTTGGATCAAAATTTAAAGTTGCATTCCCTGTGCTCTTCAATAGATTCAATTTATTTCTTAATAAATGTTCAGTTTGTATTTCTCATTCCATCCAACAAACTCCTTTTTTTGTGGGGCATCTGCAACCCTCAAAAAGGTTTAATAAAGGCAAAAAAAACCCAAAAAACCAAAAAAAAACCAGAACGCTGTCCGAACATTATGAACTCTGATCATTGGGCAGAAACCAGCCTACCCAACCAGAATGGAATTATATTGTACGGCCATAAGTATTTGAAATTCTTAAAGTAATAATTAATCATCAAACTAGCCATGGACCAATTTTTTTATTCATTTCCCGTTCAAAAGTTAATAACTTAGATTACTATTTAAAAAATGCACTCTGGAAAAGTACTCTACATGTGTTTAGGGATAAACTCAAAACAGCACAGGACATGCAACTTTAATGTTTCAACAAAATTAAAATTGATAAAAATTATTCTCTCAATTTAACACGGCAAAGAAAAAACAGCAGTTCCACTTAATTCCACATGTTAAAAATCGATTAAGCTGACCGACAAGGAAACAAAATTTCCTCAAGCTGAGTTATTAAAGTATCACTGAACTAAACTAAATTTTGATGCAAGTCCAATCAGTAACTAACTACAAGTCACAACATCAGCAGTCTTCAAAGCTGTGATTAATCCACATTTTTGTGATTCATGCCTATTACAATAAAGCTTGCTTATTCATCAGTACAATAACTTGCAGATTTGTTTACTTTTGCCTCAAATTTCACTTTGGAAACAACTTTTAATCCTCTTGGTGGTTTTGGAGGATTTTTGGAGGATTGAGGATGAATGGTGTTTGAGGATTTTGTAGGATTGAGGATGAATAGTCAGTGTTTGAAAAGAAGGAGGATTTTGGAGGATTGAGAATGAATGGATTGTTTGAGGCGGGACTGTCTGATGAACTTGAAGGATTGAGGCGCTGGGTATCCTTCATTTGAACATACATGTAAGTGGGACATTTTGGAGGGTGAGAGTTTCTTACATGGTTGATAAATCTTTATCTCCCTAACAGCCTGTCAATTTTAAAACAATGATTGTTTGTTTCATTTAAAGAGTCAGATCGGGAGTGGACACCGCAATCCACTTCATTTATTTGTTCAAAATAGTATGATGCATTCATTTCTTTGGAGGGGAGAACAGGATGAGGAAATAATAGAAAGGACAGTAATTGCAAGGTGTAGAGGTTGGCTTCTGTTTAGTCTAGAAACTGACTGAGAAGTAGACCCAAGGCAGAAGAACAAAGAAGAATGTGTATGGAGATGAACATGTATAGCAAATTGTTAACTGCATTAACAGCAAACAGAGAAAAATTGTAATAACTGCAATACTTCAATCAGAATATAGAAATAGAAAATCATTAAACTATTGTTCAATAATAATAATCAAAACAATACAAATGAAAAACCTTACACACATTGGTAACCAATGCATTTATGTAAGGCATGCCCCTATAAGCTTCAGATTTTAAAAGAATGCCTCCATCTTTATATAGAAACGTATTGTTCTCATGGTTCTTTTACTCTGTTTTAGATGGACATAAAAGTTACTGTTGAATTGAAATAAGATCAGAAAAGAATAAGAGGCAAAATTGTCCAAGAAAGATGGACGTAAAGATGGAGACGAATAAAGAATAGATACTGAGGGCAGAGTACCAAAGAAATGGTTGCCCAAAAGGAAGGGAGGGGATGACTCTCAGAGATGGCTAGCAAGCAGCTTACATGACCAGGTCTGCCACAATGTGACTGACCATTGACATTCAGTAATAAAGTGATGTGTACAAGACCAACAAACTACGCGAACACCCCTAGCAATGTACTTGCCATGAGTTAAAGGGACTTTGTAATTAACAGCATGCACCAACTACTAACATTAATTTAAATAACCAGGACTTTTGACACATGGCAAACCAAATGAAGACTTTGGCTGTACATCATTTGGTTTTTTGGTATTCTTAACTAAAGAAGATCATTTGTCAAACATTTGTCAGACTGACAAAGCCCCTTCATATCCAGAGAAGTGCTAAAAGATTTTAACAATTACCTTCAATTAACATTAGGAAAATAACGACCAATGATTGTGCTTGAATGGCCTTTAATTTTCTTTCTGAGAGCTCCTTAGACACCCTTTGGTTAGACAATGTAAGTGCACAGTTTTGCACATGAATAGTTGCTTGTGATAAAAGTTGAGTTTTTGGTTGTTGTGTTGCAATTTGATGAAGAAAGAACTATAGTTTAGCAGAGAAAATACAGGCAAAGGATTTGATCCAGCTTCACAAAATAAAAGATTGAGTTTGGCTTAGCTTTGGTTGTATTTCTGTGTCAGCAAGATGGGATTTTAAAACACTCCTAAGAGTAGAATAGCAACACTGTAATATGCAGAGGATTTTAAAAAAAAGTTGGTTTTTTTTAGTTGATGGTTAGGGACTTAAAGGTCTAGCAAACTTGGAGAAAAAAGGGCAGGAACATGTAGATAGGGTGAGGAATTTATGAAATTATTTTTGAGTATTTAGAAAAGAAGCCAAAAGTTAGCCATAAATTTAAAAGGAGAGCAACCATTTTTGGAACTAATTGTCAGCTACATGTTATCCTGATCCAGACTGGCACCTACAATTCACTAAGGCCAAAAAAAAATAGTTCTGCTTCCGATTACATGCCTTTCAAAAATAGGGTCGGTCAGTCGGAATTTTTTTTTGCCAATTTTTTTTATGCAGATTGAATAGGGTATTCAATTATTTGCGAAGTTTTAGCCTGAACTATTTCTATTGCACTACGAAAGCTATACACGAAATGGCAACAAAAAGTGAGTAAAACCTACCTTTAGTTATTGTCAATATATTTACGTTCGATAATTTCAAAAAAATAATGGAAAATTCAGGCCGTTCGCACCATATGCACAACGCTAGTCAAGACGCGGGGAGCTGGCCAAAACTCCGAGGTGTGTGATGCGTGCGTGTGTGGCGAGCAGCCCACCATGGGCCGACAGACCTGTTTTTACGGTCAACAATTTCGGGAAACACGCGGCATGTATCACTCCAAATACGAGTAGTTCGATTTCAAAATGAACTCTTGAACACAGAAAATACATACACAGACAAGCTAGATCAATTCTGTAAATTAACTTGCAAAAATGTTCTTTCTCCATCGGTGTTTTCTTGGCATTTTTACGATGTCGAATCCGACCAGTTGACAGTGGCCTGCACTGTACTGATAGCGCGCTATCAGTCGCATATAGCTAGCTATGGACTGGTTACCGCATTTTCATTATGTCTTCTAAATTGGCGCGGCAGGAACCAGTCGTCGCCACGTGATTATAGTCACCGTGACATCGAATTGAGAAGCTAGTTATATCGCGAAGCGAATTTGTAATAACGGAGGTTTCTTTTGAAAAAAAGCGAATGTAAGTAAGAAAACAAATAAATACAAGCTTTTTTGGATGCAAATGGGTTGTTGAGAGGTATTTTGTGAAGACAGAAAAGACAAGATTTTATTTTTATTTATTCTTTTTTTTTTTTTTTTTTTGGAATTGCCGATAAAAATTTTAGGGTCGCAGCCTAAAAATAGGGTCGGTCGGGTAACCGGAAGCAGAACTATTCTTTTTTTTGGCCTAACATAACAGAATGGCTTTCTCAAATTTATCATCAATCTCAATCATTTGCAAAAACAAGAAACATTTTCACTTCATTTTGTCAGCAAATGATCTTCAATATCAAAGTTAATAGTTACAATATTATGATCATTTCCTAGACCAAAATATTCAACCCTTGTCAAAACAGGCAGCTCAGAGATTTGAAGTGTCTAAATTTTTCCATCAATGATTAAGTAAAGAAAGGTAAAAATTTGTTATTTCTGTGGCATATTATGCAGTGACAGAAACTACATTTTACATGCTCAGAAAAAAATGTTCATATCTTAAGATCTCAGAACCAAATGATATCAGGTAAACAAACTCATGAATATTGAAAACAATATGAAATCATGCAGAAGGAAATGAAACAAATAAAAACCAATCTTTTCTAGCAACCAAAGATAGAGTAGGCATATGTGTGTACCATTTGCCACGGAAAACTATATGGCAACAGTTACTAAAAGCATATATAGGATCATTTGCTATTTGTGCATTTTCTTTATCCAATAATAACATCACTCAAAATCAAAAGAAGAGTGTTCAAAACCTAATTTGTTGAAGTTTCAGTTCAGTGAATAGTACACTTTGTAAGAAAACAGTGAAAAACCAAGCACGACTTTTTGATTGTGTTTCGTCAGCACTTTTTATTCCAAAAAAAACATGCAAATAACTGCTTGTTGGAAATCACCTACATTTCTTGATATTTTTGAAATGACAGCATGTCAGACACGATAATTTTATGGGGTGTTTAGTATCATTACTATCGTTAATTAGTCCAAGTAAGTATTTTATGATAATGTGGGAGGCTAATTTGGGGACAAATGCAAATGATCCTATATGCCTTTAAATAGTTTGGAGAAAAATACTTCTATTCATAGTAACTTTTCCCTTAAATCACTCATATGAAATATAAAACCTGCCCCATCAAATTATGAACATTTGCACCATACTGTAAGAGGTTTGCAACAAAAGAAGCCTTAAATTTAATATTAATGTGACAGTTTTATCTGCTTGCAAACCACCATGAAAGTCACTGGACACTTAATGCAAATAATTCAATCTTAAAATAGCATTTCTCTTTGACGGTTCACACAAATAAAATTCTGGTTTGATAACATTTATGTATATCAAATCACACAGTAAGCATTTAATAAGGGGAACTTTTAATTCCTCTGTGTTTCAGAAATGACTGTCATGATCATTGTTGAGAAATTATTTTCATTTCTCTTTCTTCTTCAAATTACAATGTATCGTCCAGGATGCCGACAGGTTTATGTCAAAGTTCTCCCAGTCGGACTGTTGAGGACAAAACTCCAATTCACAAGAATCAAGTGAGAGAATTATGGTCATTTACAAAGGAGGTTGTTTGGTGCACATTGTGATGAGTTTTGATGGAGCAGGTTGTATTCTTGGTTTGACTCACCCTTAAGGTCATCCCAGTCACCATGGTGATGGTCATCCAGCCTGTCCTGCCTAGTCTAGGCACTGGTCTGGTCCAATCCAGCCTCGGCATGGTTTGCAAAGATCAGTCTCTTCTGAGATTTAAAACAAATATTCAAACTTCATTAATTTGCTAATCATAATTTTTAATTGAGAGTGTGTCCTCATTTAGATCACCAGGGAAAGTTCGAAAGGGATCAGAGACACCATTTTAATAAGAAAGTCAGGTATCAAAATGTTCATTTGTGGACATAATTAAATGACAAGACAATGATTCTTCGGTCCAACAAGTTTTCTGATGTTTGTCTTATTGATAAATGTTTATTACAAAGAATTCATTGACACACTCACCAGTTTGGAACTCTCAATCGTCCTGAGAGAAGCCAGATAAGACCTCAGGATGGTGCCTTATCCCTCACAGACATCCTGAACTGCCTGTCTACACCTTGGTTCCCATGGCAGAAGATCAATAGGTACCATCTATGTAGACAGCATCTGTCCAGATACAGCCTCCCCCAAGGAAGTTATGGCGTTGTTCACATGAACTGCTGAAGCTTTAAGTTGCAGGTTGTATGCACCTCCTGCACCGCTCATGGTCAAGATGTCCCTCAGCGTTACATCCAGTCTTGTGGATTCGACTGAGTACCAGAGTAGAAGTAGAAGTACTGCAGACTGCTACTAGAAGTTCAAGCAGCGGCCTCCCAAATAGTCCAAAGGGCTACACTCCAACAAGGTACATGTACATCAACATCATCTTTGCAATTCAAGTTCAAGACAGAGTGAACCGCAAGCAACTCATGGAGCAACTAAGTTTGGGTTTTGAAAGTAAAGACCAGTCAAATCTCAGTTCACTGGTTTCCCGTGCATGTAAAACTTGAGCGCAGTGAACGTGGTAGTCATGGATGTGCGGTCATTGCGGTTGATTTTCAAAACAGCCGTCTCACTCTCACCAGGCTTGTCATCTTCAAGCACTCCGCTGTGGTCCTAGCCCGCCATGAATCCTTGCCAAGTCGTTGGTCGGCAATGAGGCCTCTGTCTCTGAAGTCAAAATCCTTACAAGCAATGATTATTTTGCAAGCTTTTTGCAGTGCAAAACAATTTCTTCTCACAGGGCTGGTGGACCGTACTGGATCGACCTTGCTAGATAGAGGGCACATGCAAACAGTGTACGGCAGAGTGTACAGGAGCAAGCCGAATGCTTTTCAAGTGTATTTCAAATTTGGCAACTTTCTTTTGCCTTTTGAAAACATGAAATTATCATCATGATCTCCATCATAAAGACTTTTAAAGTTAATCATTGTTCAAAATGATCCAGTGTACTAACATCCCCTATTTGACAGCTTTAGTTCAGGAAATTTCCCTTTAGCAGGAAAGCTTCCCTTAACAGGATCACCACCGGGAAGGTAGCTGTCATGATCCCATGTTAGTAAAGAGAGGAAAAAGGGGAGGGGCAGAAATTAGAAGGTGCGTGCGAGAGATGGAGAGGGAAGGGAGGAAAACAGAGGAAAGAGAAAAGGAAGATAGAAATGAAACGGTGCGTGCAAGTGACAAAAGAAAAGAGTAGGTGTAGAGAGGAAAGAGAGACAGAAATGGACCAGTGCGTGCAAATGATGATAGAAAGGGGATGACGGACGGGATGGAGGGTGGGGAAGGAGGGTGGGGAAGGAGGATGGGAAGGAGGGTGGAGGTATGGGGAGGGAATGTACGGTGATGAGCCAGTCACGAATCACCAGGGGGAGTAAGGGAAAGTCTTGTCTCAACTGTGGCTGCAGTGCAATGACTAGCTCCAGCGTTTCACAGGTGAGAGGCAACTCAACAAATTGCAGGTCCATATACTCAAGCAAATGGTTACTACTAAAAAGTCACTGTAAGCTTACCATCAGTCAGTTTGCTTGTGGTATAAATCAAGAGTACACAATTGAATAGCCATTTTCCCCTACCTTTTTGTGGGTGGGGTTTGGACATGGCAAGATAAACACAGAAGCAGAGTCATTTATCAAGACTTCTTGCAGTGCAGTAAGCTAAAAAAAAAAATGAAAGCTCAAATTACATGAAAACCACAACATTTGGGCAAACTCCCTCTTTTGGGGGCGGGACACTAGTCATAATTAGGGGGTGGGAAAATTACAAATTACAAAATAATACAATATCTATTCAAACAGCTGTCATTTTTTTTCCTGATTTTGGCCTTTTCAGTAGGCAGTAAATAAAAAGCATACACTTTTCAGGACGATATTTGTGGAATATGATGACTGAAACTCGTCTTTTGGCCAGATGGATGAAAATATTGAGACCAAAGAACGTTTTTTCGAAAAGGTATAAGTTGCTCTACGACTAAGAACCTTAACTTTGGAAATTTTTGTCCTGGATGAAAAGATAATCTCGTCAAATCTGTAGCAAAATCACTACATCAGAGTGAAAAAAAATTCAGTCTGTGGGGAAGCATTAAGCATCTGGCCGTACTACAGAGCTTGCGATAGTACTGTACAGCCAGACGCAGTCGGGCTAGGTGGAAGTGTGGCCAGTGAATTGGACACATTTATGGGGCTAGCCTAGCCCCACTAGTGTGGCCGCGGTATGCTGCGCTGAACCTCTGGGCACACACCGTGGTACCGCGCACTACTGAGGGCGTTTTCCTAAAAATTACGTTCAGTTTCTTACATATGGTTGTATACTATGATGTCTCATCTAGTGGGGCTAGTATAGTCCGAGTAACTTGGACCCAACTTATCGCCTTTTTTTAAGGCAGTGTATTTTTTGCCGGAGACGGCAAACCTTTAGTAAACGTTAGTTTGCCGGATATGCACTGAACATGCGCAGTTACTTTTTTTTTGTACTTGAAACATTTTCCGGTGACAAGTTTTAGTCTGGCTCCATGCCAAAATTATCGTTGTTACCTCGTATTCACAAGATGGGATTCAGACCATTTTATAATTTCGGACTTTATTTCCCTTTTAAAAAAAAATCCTCCAGAGCCACAAATCTGAAAAAGAAAATGTAATACTCTGCAAAAAATGTTTGGGACATGTTAAAATAATAAAAGAAGAATATTCTTATTTATTTGCGGATGAGAAAAAAAACCTTAAAAATGTGGTGGGGTCGGATTCGAACGCGAGTCATCCCGCTTACTAAAGCCTTTGCTTAACCACTACACCAAACATGCTACACAACTTTTGGTGGGAATTTAATACATCTTATAATTCAGCCCTATTTTAAAGAGTACAGCGCCCTCTGTTGATATGGATTGCCGCCAGCAAACCTTTAGTAATCGGTAGTTTGCCGTCATTACCTCCGGCAAAATATCCACTATCTTTTTTTAACATTTGGACATGGTCTGGCGATAGTGGGGTCCAAGCTAATACCGCGACCTGGACAACACCGTCATGACCGTCCCAAAAACCAACATTTTCCAACAAAAAACATCAGATTTCACCTTCAAAACGGCCTCCAAATTACTAGATATGCCACCTGAGGTACAAGTAGACATCGATAATTAAGATGGTTGTACTGAAGTTAACTTACGATCCGGAAAAAAGTGAAATTTTCCGTTCATTTCGGAGAGCTCCCCTCGCAATCTTGAACCCGTTAAATTCCCGATCGTGTTTAATGTTTGAACGACGCGATTTCTTCTACATGCCCAGCGTACATTCGATGGTCCCTGTATCCCGAGTGCGATTCCGTTACCGAGCGCGCGCGATGCATCGATTATGATAATGAGTAGACTGGATCACGTTTGTAAACACATGTGCATTTCAAACGATATTAGGGAGTCGAAAACTAGCACAGCTTTTATGGCGGATACCAGTTCAAGCTGGTTCCCGATTCCCTTTTACAGTTCGAAATGCACATGTATGTGTTTACAAACGTGACTCATTATCATAATCGATGCATCGCGCGCGCTCGGTAACAGAATCGCACTCGGGATACGCGATACTTCTACCATGGGCATGTAGAAGAAATCGCGTCGTTCAAACATTAAACACGATCGGGAATTTAACGTGTTCAAGATCGCGAGGAGAGCTCTCCGAAATGAACGGAAAATTTCACTCTTTTTCCGGATCGTAAGTAAACTTCAGTATAACCATCTTAATTATTGATGTCTACTTGTACCTCAGGTGGCATATCTAGTAATTTGGAGGCCGTTTTGAAGGTGAAATCTGATGTTTTTTGTTGGAAAATGTTGGTTTTTGGGACGGTCATGACGGTGTTGTCCAGGTCGCGGTATTAGCTTGGACCCCACTATCGCCAGACCATGTCCAAATGTTAAAAAAAGGCGATAAGTTGGGTCCAAGTTACTCGGACTAGGGCTAGTATAGTCGGACTCCCTATCATCGCGGCATCCCTATTATCGCGGCATGGGAAATTTCTCTTTTTACAGTGTCAAAACTCCTTCAAGTGGCGATTTTTATCCAGTTCACCAGTCATCAAGAATTTTCTACCGAGTTGTATAAAAAGGACGATTGAAAAATGTTGTGTCTTTCGGGACTTTTAACGATTTTAATAAATATTAACGTTTTCCAAAACTTGAAAAATTTTCCCTCACCGTGTCTGCTAAAAGGTACCGTTTATATTTTAACATAAATCTTTAGTTGCGCTCTGTCCATGAAAGTTCCATTGTCTGGTTCCCATTCTTCAGCTGCAAATGTAAAATGAAGTCGAACGACGATATTTGCAGCGCGAAATCGTAACAACTTTTACGGGATCAAAATAAGCACCGCGCGTTAGCGAAAATAAAACGGCACACCGTGTAAAGTGAATGGCGCCCTCAATCGCCGATCAGTAGACTTGCCTCAGGGATTTGTGTTCTCCTTTCGGGGGAAGGGCAGGGTCTTAAGAAATCATCCTGCAGACATGTTGTCTTTAATCAACTTGAACGTTACAGGGAAAATATCAGACTTTATTCAGGGGGTGTTTTGGTCAAACATAAACTATGAACAAAAAAGTTGGGATCATTATAAAAACCACTTCCCGCATACCGCGATAATAGGGAGTCCACCTCCGTTCGCACACGCCGCGCATGTCTATTTTCACAGGCATCGTACACGGAATAAACCACACTACCCGTCAGATTTTTTTTTATTAATTTAAAAAGGAAGAGTGATACTACACATAAGACAGGACAATTCTGGAAGGTTAGTGGGCAATCTCTATTCCGAATGAGAAACGTGATAAGTACCGCGATAATACGGCGTTCCATCCTACTAGTATAGCCCCATAAATGTGGCCTACTTAGTGGACTGCCTCCGTAAACATAGGCCACACGTCCACATGTGCAAAGTCGACACGTTTTTTGTACATGTGGATGTGTGGCCTATGTTTACGGAGGCAGTCCAGTAAATAGGCCACATTTATGGGGCTATAGCCCCACTAGTGTGGCCGTCGGTATGCTGCGCTGAACCTTTGGCCACACACCGTGGTACCGCGCGCTACTGAGGACGAAGTTTTTCATAAAATTCAGGGCAGTTTCTTACATTTTCAGTTTCTTACTTTCTTATGGTTGTATTCTATGATGTCTCCTATCACTTCTGGGATGCTTAGCATGTGCTTAGATCTAATGATGTTCCATTTTCCGAGATATTCTTCAATCTTTCTGGAGCCCATAATGCACTCGTGAAACGTCTGGTGATGGCAGCCATTTTGAATGTGACAAGAGATGACCTCAAGCTGTGACGTCGCGTTTATGCAAATTGCTTGTCGAGCGCGCGAGGGCGCCAGTTGCAAATGCGACGGCTGTTTCCTGTGCCGTAGATCCTGAATAGAGATCGGTGCACGTGGCCCCCTGACGATAAATGCATGGTACAGGAAACAGCCGTCGCATTTGCAACTCGCGCCCTCGCGCGCTCGACAAGCAATTTGCATACACGCGACGTCACAGCTTGAGGTCATCTCTTGTCCCATTCAAAATGGCTGCCATCACCAGACGTTTCACGAGTGCATATGGACTCCAGAAAGATTGAAGAATATCTCGGAAAATGGAACATCATTAGACCTAAGCACATGCTAAGCATCCCAGAAGTGATAGGAGACATCATAGAATACAACCATAAGAAAGTAAGAAACTGAAAATGTAAGAAACTGCCCTGAATTTTATGAAAAACTTCGTCCTCAGTAGCGCGCGGTACCACGGTGTGTGGCCAAAGGTTCAGCGCAGCATACCGACGGCCACACTAGTGGGGCTAATGGGGCTAGTACTAAAACCAACAAAAATTCAGAACAAATGGGAACTCAACTGAAACAAAGATATATTTCCTGAATGTCTCCGTGTGGATAAAGAACTGAAAGCTTTGGTATTAAAAACACAAGTAACCTGTAACACCCCCCCCCCCCCGTCTTACACCACGCCCCCCCCCCCCCAACCTCAAGCAGGAGTTTCAAAGCACATGGTTCTACGTTTGATGCAATTTTTGCATCAACAAAATTTGGCAAAATCAGTTTTAAACAAGGTTTACTTCTACACTCACCAAGTTGGCGGACCATTCATTCGTCAAACTACTATAATTTGAAGACTCTTAAAAGTATCTACGCACGGTAAAATGTTCTCCCAAATTCGAAGACCAATCGTGTCGTCGGAAACTCCTCACGCGAAAAATTTAACATGGCCGAAGGTTGCCTGGTACCTGGCGGATGCACATAAATGCTAACAGGTTGATGCGTACCAGGGAAACACGTGGAATTGATCGAGAAATTCAAAGCTTTCGGAGCGCGAGCAGCGGTGATAGCCTCGATTCAAGCCTTGGCAGGATCACTGCACCGCCATGCTGGTTGCCCTTCACGAAGTAAGTGAACCGTGATTGTTCCAAACCGACTTTGATAAAGACAACATATGTTGCAAAATTTTGCAGATTTTAATAAAATATTCTTTCCTAATCTAAATTTTCCGGACGGCCATGAGGTATTTTTCAAACCTTGGTTCTGCCCTTCCGGCTTAGGCTTCATGTGCTTGTTTCGTGATTTCAACTGAGCAAACTCGAATCAGATCGGTCAAGACTAATCGGCCCCATTTTCTGCTACTGGATAACTGATTATAATTATGTTATGAAGCAAAAAAAAAAGTTTAATTTTAAGCATTGAAGGCCATTTTAAGTTACAAATTCAGAAGATTGCGGGTGAAATACGACTCCCGACGCCCCCCCCCCAAAAAAAAATTTCGCGCATGAGGCAAGAGGGAACGATGGGCCTTTTAAAAAATTGTACTCGTTCATGATCTATCCTTATTCGCGGCTTCTCTTGTAGACTAGTATACTTGATTGAAAATTACATGTTCATTAATATATGATAATCGGGGAAAGAAACTGGCTCTCAAAAATTTGCTGTCACAATATTTATTGACACATTTACCTAGCACGCTGTAATCAAGTGACATCGTTGGTGGTGATGATAATAATGAAACCCAGTATCATTTCCGGTTACAATGATTTGAATTATTTACGAAGTCAAACATTAATAAACAACGTTTGAAAAATTCCAAACAAGAAGAATTAAATAAACAAATAATCGTGCAAGTGAATAAAAGGTATTTTAGTGACTTTGTATGACGTTATCGTCAACGTGATAATAAGCGACAAGCTATAAAATATGATAGTTAGTGCCCTCACCCATATTTAACTATACCACGTTTTTATAAATTTTAATAAAATGTTAGTAGATGTATTTGTTCTGAATACTCCGATTTCTATTTGATATTGACATACTATATCACTGTAGTTTTTTAATAAGCCTAATCCAGTTTGTATGTTATCCTTTCATAATTATGTTTAAAGCAAATTTTGATTAACATTTCAACACTTGATCAACGTTCTAAATATTGTATAATCTACAGTATTTATTGTACTTTTGAACGATTTTGTTAGTTTATGTATATATTTTAGTAATGTTAAACTTAGTGTAAGCCAGTCTCATCAGCCAACAGCCACATTAGTGGCTGCCGAAAAGTGTTTTTTTTTTAATAACCAGATATTAATAATTATCAATACGGCAACATTAATGTCGGTTCTAAAAACAAATTGAAAAATAGATATCTCTTTTCAATTGTTTTCCCCCTAAAAATATTGGACAGTAATTAAATTTTGAATGAGACGGCGAACGAAAAAAATCCGCCAAAGTTTAGTCGCTGAACTATATATTTCGTCATAATATTCGAATTTATTGGCTGCTAGACAATAGTCCGGCTTTCGCAGATCGGGTTCATTTTGTGCGCAAATTGAAGCCACATTTAGGGGCAGACGCCAAAAATCCGAAAAAGATTTGTTGCTTCGTTAAAACAAAACATACAAATTAAAAAAATTTAAGAGAAACAAAAGATATTTTGAAGAGCATGGGTCACGCATAAAATGCAAATCTGACTGATTTAATTTATTAGGCCCTAACCATTTAAATCCAACACCAAAAAGAGGGAGGGGGGATCAATATAAATGTATTCATGTTCGCTTTAAAGGAAATGTACATTTTACATCTAGGTCTGTTAACTACAGACCTAGATGTAAAAGTACATTTTCCTTTAAAGCGAACATAAATGATTATTATTGATTTATTTATTATTGTTTTCATATTATTTACTGTGGGCATAAACGCGAAAGGAGAATCAACAACACTAGCCATCAGTTTTATCCTTCGGTATAGTCTCCTCGGAAATGTCATACGTGAATGCAACTTTGCTTTGATCGACTACCATCATATACTCCGGTTGGTCAGTTTTAAAACAGTCGATAATATTGGGTCCGTTCTCCGAGTCCAACTGGCGCAGACATAAGGGAAGGAGAGAACAGACGATACAAGTTGCTCCTACTACGCAGATGACGCAGACGGATCCGAACAAATACGACGACAGGAGTGGTCCTAAAACGTCTGAGGCCGCCCAGCCAATGTTCAGCAAAGAAAACACCACACCGAAGGCTTGAGGGTACCGCTCGTTGGCGATGGTAGAACACATGACCAAAAGGGTAAATCTCGACGCAGTGGCTCCGACGAAATGAGTGCAAAGGGCGGTGCTGGCGAGAAAGATGCTCGGTGAGAAGTTCACAAGAACCAAAGGAACTCCTGCCGTACAGAGAGAAGCCATGCAGAAGATCCAAGATCGGTCCTGCAGGATGGGTAAGATCTGAGCGGTGGCGAGGCAGGCTATAATCGTTGCCAACCCGCAAAGTCCAAGAACGACACCCGTGGTTTCAGGACCCGCCCCGAAGGCAGATTTCATCCACACAGCAAGAGAGGGTTCCAATGCAGATTGGCTGAGATTGGAAACTAAGAAGCACAAAGAAATGATGATGAGTTGGACATCGCATGCAACCCTCCATTGCAGGTTGGAAGTCTTTTTAAGTCCACGGTCATTTACTGTGTTCGATTCGCTCCTCGAATGGAAATTCTCGGGTCTGAATGTTATTCCGACCCCGATGACCAGCAGCAAGATGATTGGTAGAAATATGAAAAACACGTAATGGTTTGCGATGTGGTATAACTCTCCCGTGATAAATCATATCAGTAAACTAGACGCCAATTTGCACAAGGCCACGGCCATTACATTCATGTACTCTTTCGTTGCTTGATCGTACACGTCTCTGATGCGAGCAAAGGCCATAGTCTGCATGCAAGCACTGATGACGCCTTGCAGAAGACGATTGGTTAAAACCATCGTTACATCCGTACTGATTATTCCATAAAGAAGACACTTTATGGAAGCAACCAGGAGACCGAATATAATCACAGTATCAAACCCATACCGGTCAGCTGCCATGCCAGTCAAGGGGGATAAGAACATCTCCACAAGCCCGGTGGAGACGAAGATCGAAGACACTGCGAAAGTCGCCCTTGTTTCTACCAGGTTCTCATCATTGGTCGGCGACTCCTCCGAGTTAAAGGTTATGTTGGTAGCTGCCCACTCCCATTCCGAAACCAGTGGCACAACTGCTCCATGCAAACTGCTAGACAGATAGAGAGCCGCAATGCTTGTGGCAATCCTGAACCACTTTTCTCTCTGGAGACCAAAATAACCCATAGTCCTGATGAAGACAAAATTTGTAATACAGATATTGAATGAAGAGTAGTCACAGAAAGAGCATGGCTTCCACTTCAAGCGCCTACATCTACGACATATGAGTTTGGTAGCACTATAAAAGCCCTGTCTGATCAATCAAGTCAAGCTTAGTTAGCGTTTGACAACAATCAAGAAGCAAAGATGATCGAAGGACATCAGTGAATTAATGCTGTCTTGCTTTGGCAGTACGTACCTTTCATATAAATCCAGGGATAAGCAGAGACTCTTCAATAGTTCCCGACGACTATCTTGCTACAATACTTGCGATCAATTTTGGTCTCTCGCTCTGTCTCTTTCTCATCAATACTACCCTGTCTTTAAAATCGTCCAAGAAGTTTCGATCAAGAACACGTCATGTACGCGCGTAGAAGTTTAGTTTCTCTCTTGTGATCTAACTTTCAATCTTATCAGTCAACCAGTCTATTTTGCATCTGAAGCAAGACAGTGAATTTACGTGGGTGGAGGAACATCGTGAAAGGGAAGTAGTATACAAAGATATACTATGGAAATATATGGTTAATCACCCGAAACACTTTGAATGAAGACTTAGTTGCTTTGATACTTGAAAGGATCGGAGCCAGTGACCTATAGAAGCAACAGAGCAAATCAGCGGCTCCTGCTGGATTTGTTTCGAGAAATGTGGTCATGCACACTATAGCTTAGATTTTAGGGGAACAATGAGAACTTATGGGGTCCTTGGTGTTTACGAGCTTTCTGCGCTTTTTGGCTTAATCGGCAACAGGTTAGTCACACATGGTGGGACCTTCGCCATTTTTTTTTATTTAGTGACGAACAACCAGAGAAAGCGTATGATAGGTCCCCAAAAACTCGGAGGCCCACTTAAAAAACCCGAAGAATTAAGAAAGAAAGATTGTGAAAGAAATAGTGGAATGTGCATTGAAAGAGTGGACAAATGTTAAGTAGACAAAAAAGGGAGTCCCTTTTCACACAGTAACAGATGCTCGCACGAAGTTTGTTGAGTACCCTTCTCATTGACGTTGTTGTCCATATTGAGGGCGCTCTATGCTTTTTTTTTTCTTTTTAAGATATCTATTGCCGGCACACGGTCAGCGTTTATTTCCGCCATAACTCGATTTTTAGTATTTATTTACAATGTTAGCGCCCTACTGTTTGTTACCCTATAGTCTAAAAAAGAAAAACTGGGAAACTTGCCTTTGCTTACATGCAGGGTTGTTGTTAAATCTCGGGTATGTTCACAAAATTTAAAGCACTGCCATCAATGTTTTTAAATGGCGGGAGTTGTGTATGTGTTTGTTCGTATCTTTTTTTTCTGTCGAGTCCTCCACTGATTCAAAAATTCAAAAAAGAAAACAAAAGAACAGCGCCCTCTATATCACCCAACATATGGAAAACCTTTGGCTTTTTAAATATCCCAATAGTCATTTATAAATTGCATAAAAAAAACACTGTGTATCATTTTCTATTCATAAACTAAAAATAAAGTTTTAAGTCATCAACAACAATTTAAGGGGGGGGGTGGGAGCACAATATTGATTAAAAAGGAACAGACAATTATAGAATAAAACGAAGTGGTTTTGACCTACATTTGCCCATAAGACTGCCAATTCATAAACCAACCTACTCCATTTTCCAGTTTGAAAACTGTAAAACCTTTTTTTTAATTAATGTGTAAAGGAACATGAGCTCTTTGATTTCTTATCCTAACTTAAATTCGTTTGTGACTGACACACATGATATGTCACTTTCCCCTGCATGTATAAGACATTCTCGTGTAAAGTGAACAAATTTAAATATAACAAAAACCCAGATAAGTTTGTCATGTCAACAACCATACTTTTTATTGGGGTTTTGCTTTGACACCCAAGATAAATCTTGGCTCAATGACACAACTTTTAACATTCGCAGCTAGGTACATGTATTTACACAAATGATTCCTTCACAGTTTAATAACGGCCTTACTTTGCACTTAACCACATTATATACAGACAATCTTAAACAGCAGGCAAAATCATTCTTATTTTAAGTTGAAGGCACTCATTGAAACTTTTAATTAACTACATTTTAAATCGACTCATTTAATACAATCAAAAATAGGATTTGTCCACAACAATTACTAATTAGCTCAAGTAGTACCTTAAAGACATCAGATTCATTAAATCGTAAATGCAAAGACACTGTCCATATCACCTTTTTAATTGACCCAAAAAACTTGATGATCTTGCCCCAGTATAAATGGAGAAAAGTTCTTTCACGAAGACTCCAATTAACAGCAAGAGAAAATGAAACCTTTCTATTGTAATTTATGATAGTATGGTCTGGCACTTGCCAGATACACAAACACGTCTACGCTGGATTACTGCCTTCAACCCTTAGTTAGACAAATGTTTCTTGAGTTAAATGCTCCATCAAATACAACATAAAGCTTAAAACAAATATTACAACTTCCTAACCATTTCATTTAGTGAACATTTTTTTAAACTTATGTACATTATATTTTCCTTACTTTCCCCCTTTTTTTTTGGTACTTCAAATAGTTATTATCAATAATGAACTCATTATGTATTGCTCCAATATCTCATTAAGAGGGCAAAATGAATTGCAAACTTACAGTAGACAATGTGGGCCTAAATGGATAATGACAAAAGTATGTACATGTAATTGCACAACTTGTCTACTTTAAAAGCTGTAGAAGCCTGTAAAATACTGCCAGAAAAGTAGGGGTCCCATTTTCTTGAATTGTCTAGTCCCAAATTTTAGCACTTGTGTATACAAACGGTACTACAGGGTGAGTGAAATCCAAACCCCCGGAATCCAAACCCCCAAAACTACATTTCATATATAAAAAAATTTATCACCAAAAATAATAACGACTGAAAAGCCAATTTCATAAACTACTTTTAGATGAAAAATTACTGAAATTGCTCAATCCATTCAAAGAATATAATCACCACTTAAACGCAATGACCTTAAACCTGTTTTGTCCCCCCCCCCCCAAAAAGCAATTTATTGTTTTTCTGACAAAAAAAATGAAACAGAATACTATTTCAACAACTGTCCAGAGCTGTACTGAGCACACAATATCTTTATTAACAACCATGCTTAGGCAAACAATATGATTTATAAAATCAACTTTTTTTTAAAGGCGGGCCTTCAAAAGGACTTTCTTTGATATTTTGAACTTTTAAACTGAGAGTTTATCGAGCTGGGTTTCGCTGGTGATGTTTGAAAACAACAGTGACAACGATTCTTGAAATTGCATTTTTGGACGAAAGATGTTTTAGGGTCATTGCGCTTAAATGGTGATATACTTTAAATGGATTGAGCAATTTCAGTATTTTTATCTAAAAGTAGTTTATGAAATTGGCTTTCCAGTCATTATTAATTTTGGTGCTACATATTTTTTAAAATGTGAAATATATATTTTTTTGGTTTGGGTTCAACTTTTTTGACTCAACCTGTATGATCACTTTGTGATCTCATCCTCCTTAAATAATAGCATCTGTACTTGATTTATAACTGTTAAGCAGTCAGCAATGTCTATGTATATCTTCCATTGGAGAACTACCCCCATCAGTTCCAAAAAGAATCTAACTTTAATATCTAATGGCTTTTTGTAATAACTTTGTTATAATGCTGTTGATCTGAAAAGTAATAACTTTTAAGTTAGAAAAACTCTGATATGCTTCCATGAACATGCAAATGGAAAGGGGTTCTTGGTTCATTATCTTAAAAAAAAAAACCAGAACAATACACAAAACACCAATTCAGATAGTGACTGCTTGAACGCAGACTTATTTTTTGCTTATCTTTTTTGTCCACTTAATTAAATATATATATTAATTTACTGTCCACTTCGTTTTTATAGTGTGCACTTGTACGTATTACAGGCGCACGGACACAGAGTACAATTTTACAACTCAATTTTACAACTAAACTGATTAACTTCATCCTTAAAATAAATTTCAGTCCTTTTGCTTCCAAAGCATATTTTTTTTCTGCTGAAAGAGAAGGAACCCACACAAAGCACAATGCTTGAATTATTGCACAGACTATTTACAAATTCAATAATAACATGTACATGTAATTGTAGTTTTGTAATATTTATTATTTAAAAATATATTTCCCACTGATCAAAACAAATCTTTTTCAACTTGCTGCTCATACACCTCCATGTCCATGTCCATGTAAGTCTCAATTTACATTTCCTATTTCACAACCAATCTACATAACTTAAAATATCAGAATTTGAGCTTCTTGAATTCTGCTAAGTTGTTTGTGCATGTGAACACAATCCTAGTTTGTGAAGTGAACAATATTGTATTCTTAACAAAACACGTCCACACATGTACTTGTACATCCATGTACATGTACTGTACATGTATCTAAGCTATAGACTCCCCAATGAGCACAATTCATTGTCAACCACACAATTAGCCCTGGCTATAGCATCCTGTTGTCATAGCAACAGCAGTCAACCAAACTTCAATAATTTCAATAGCCGGCCACTACATGTAGTTTAGTCAATATACAATGTACTGTGCATGCATGCCACAAGGCCATGCTGGCTTTTTGCAAATAAACGATGTAGAAAATAATTGCTAGCCATATTTAGTAAAGAAGCATATACCACGCACAGTGTATTATTAAAAATGCGCAATGGGAATTTCCAGCTTTAGTCATTTCTGGTTATTTAGTACACTGTCTTAATTAGTGTTTGTCTTAATTAGTATTTTACAGGCATATTAATCATACAGTGAAGAATAGGGCAATTTTCACAGTGGTCTTCTACAGGAAAAAAAATGAGCTGGCTAAAGCAGATTTTAAGCATAATTACACATTTCAAGTTTCATTTCTTACTTTACCAGGAAGCAATCCCAAAACCCTGTTCATCACATGCCATAATCCACGTACAATTTGACCTGTTACTATAGCAACAGAAGATGGACCACACTATCAGGACGGATCGATTGCCTGCAACTGTCACAGCCATCCCAGTTCCCATGACGAAAATACTAAAGCATCTGATGAATTGCTTGAACACAGGGAACATGAAACTTATAAAAGTGCATTTCTGAGTCCTTTTTCTCCAAGTAAGGAGGGATTTCTGTCAAATTTTGCAGCAAATATGATTATGCTGAAGATATTTAATAAAGTAGGGTTTGCAATTCAACAATTACTGTGGTATCCATTGCAACATATGACTGACTTATGATTTGACTTATGATTACTAGTGATCTGACTTGCGATTGTTTGTGATCCGACTTATGATTGACGTGTGACTTGACTTATGATTGACTAGTGATCCAAGTTATGATTGACTTGTGACTCTACCTATGATTGACGTGCAACTTGATTTGCAATTTGTCTTATGATTGACAACTGATCTGAATTATGATTGATTTGTGACTTGACTTATGACTGACTTGTGACTCGACTTGTGATGGACTATGACCCGTCCGTGATCGAACCTTGCCTTTTACCAGCGGTCATCCCAGGCTTGCTTGGGTCCTCCAGGAGGGGGTGGATTGCTCCGCCCACTACTTGGTCTCATCCTCCTCGATCCACCTGATACCGTGGAGATTCCACTATGGTCACTGTTGAGGCTGGCCATACTGGATCCTTTGCCTAGACTACCGGAATGACCATAGCCTGCAGAGAAGGGATAGACAAAGTTGTGGTCAATTCCATGATTCACAGTAACATTTCCCAGAGATGAAATGCGTTTAAGTTTGTGAAAATTTGTAGCAAGAGTATTGTCCAGATGACACTAAGTTACATTCACAATCACAAAGAGAATGAACTTATTCTTATTAACAGAATAAAAATATAAATGAATAAGGATTTGTTTGTCATGTTATTTTTGCAGTGCCCCTGGCCAATAAATAAAAGAGATATTTAAGAATTTAACGTTTTGACGTACATTTCGACCAAATTCATCCTTTAATAAGTCACCTTTATACGTGTTATATAATATGACTTGTCCCACTAATATGGCTTTTCAAATTCACACTACATTTGGTACACTTTGCACTTTGAAATTTAGAGCCATTTACTTCATGCATAGAGTGCAAATAGATGTATAAATAGATGTTGGTTACCATAACAACTACATCTACAACTGTTCATTTTGCACATGAACTCAATCAGGTTAAAATATAATCTGGGTGAACAACGAAACGACAACTCTGTTTAAATTCATTCTAAATTTCTCGAGTAGAAGTGGCATTTGGCCAACATTAATAATTGACATGAATGCATCATCATGCACAAAAACAATCAATAAAATATTTTTTAGGAAGACAAATTAGGAAGAGGGCCTGAGGCGAAGTATATACAAAAAAGTAAACCATCGTCCCTATACATGGGGCTTATTGGGTGGCATTTTATGATTCATAGTACACTTGTGCTTCAATGGACCCACTTTCATTGTGCTGTTGACATACTGACCCATTTTACATATGTATAAGAGTTGTGTCAATAGAGATTTGCTTTAGAAAGCTTCAGGGTAGATTTCAGTAGTCTCTGACGTAGTTAAGAATATGATAGTTAATATTAATCGTTAAGAATATGGAATGAAGGATGTAAAGTGAAATGTAGACAAGGTACACCCTTAAAAAATTAAATGCAGGACTTGTTTAATGATTGGGGATAGAATAACTTTGCTTTTGTCAATTTTACTGTATTTTTACTATTCTTGCACAAGTATCATCAGCTGATAGAGTTTTACAAGTCAAATTTCAAAAATTTATTTATTCACATCTAAGTAGCGTGTGCTCTAAATCAAATAATACTGAAGTGGTCCGGCAAGCATTTCAACAAATTACTCTCATGGGATTTGCATGTAGTCTTAGGTCAAGCTGTGCAGAACTTGACATGAACATGTACAACATCTGTATGTAACTGAACAAGTGTTAAGGTTCAGTTTATTTATAAATACAGCCTTGAATGCAGGAATGAAGTCCACCAACTGACATTTTATCACACGGGTCAGATTAACTAATTGATGAGGACTTTGAAATGGCAATTTAATTTGATTTCGGTCTCAGTTTTCGCTGGATAAATTTAAGGTGTGATAAGCTTAATATTGAAAATAGTTAAGTTCAGTTAATTCAAAACAGACATTGAATTACTGAATTAATTAATTCACTGTAAAGATAATACAATTAAGTTTCCTAAATGAAATGGTAAAAACTGCTATTTCATCAGAAAATATCAAAGTTTCATCCAGAATAATGAAATGGCTGATGAATAAAATTGTCCAGATTGCTGTGGATAGTATGTGAAGTACTTGTACTTCATTTCAAGTACATACAGGGATATTAAATGAGACAATTGTCAAATTACTCAATGGTTTTGTCTAGTCAGCTACTTTGGGTTTCAAGTGCAATTAAGAAGTCATCAGCAATTACATGTAGGACCAATTGAAAAGTGTTGGCGTATGATTACTATGCACGATCATGTAGGTACTCGTTATAAAGTAGTTTTCAAAGTAGGCAAATATGTTTTAAACAAGACTCACATGAATAAACATGATGAAATCAAATCCTGGTGTCAAATTTAATAATAAATATCCACACAAATATCTGGGGTTATAATAACTAAGATAATGGTATCTCCAACATACAGAATTATTTTGTAGTTATGATTCTTCACAATTTGCCAAACCATCTACTGGCAAATGACACAAACATGCACAAGGCAATGGAAAAGTGCAGAGTGATTGTGTCAAGTCCATTTTTTTTCTATAAAGTTATAGGCCTAAAAGTGATAAAACTAGAATTCAAGGATTCATTTGAAGTGCTCATTGGATGCTACAAATCATTTTTTTATTAAAACCTGCAATTTTTGCAATTGAGGAGATGTGCACGAGTAGGTTTGATTTCTTACTTGCTGGTTTAGAGCTTTGTGGTCTCATTGATGCCTTGGAGACCTGCGATGCGTACTTCATCTGTTTGTTGTGCTCATGTAGCAGTTTGTCGCGACGAACTGTCGAGCTGGCACCAGCAGTCTCGATGCGTTCCAGAATTTTCTGCAAGACAAATACCACTTCTTTTAAAAACTTCTGCCTGCTTTCTGGACATTTCCAGAAACCAGAGCTAGTCCACAGGGCTTTGATGCAAATGAATAAGTAAATTCCTGACAACAAAATAGTGGAAGTGGAATAATAGTGGAAGAACAAACAGAAACAGAAATAATTTTGCGTCTGTTAGACTGATTCTTTTCACTTACCCTATTTTCCATCTCAATCTTTCTCTGCTCCCGTTGTCTGCATATGGCTGAATGGCTCATCATTCTGGGTGGATCCGCCCTCCTTGATTGCGATGCCCCATAAGTAGAGACATCAACAGACTTGGGCCTTTGCAGAATCTTCTGCAGTAATCGCTGATTCTCGCGGTCAATCTGCTTGACTTTGTCATTGCTGAAGGACAGGTTGACACGTTGATGAGGCATGGGTTGCGTGACGTTGGCAGACAGTGCTTTCTTTGCAGAGGTTGGTCTTTGCTTCGCTGTCACAGGCCGGTGAAAGGAATGCATCTGCGAGCGATTTGGCGTGTCGTCCATTTCCAAAACTGCTCTCAGAAGCCTACTCAGTTCACGTGCTTCGGTTTCATCCATTTGCTTATCACGCTTGGACACAGACCCATTGCTCGGTGTGACTCCTACAAAACGTACACTTTCCTTCTTGCCTGATCTTGTTCTCTTGTGTTTCCCATCCCCACCCTTAGATTTTGATTCAGCTTTGGCCTGTCGCAGTCTATTTTCTTCAAAGCTGTCCTCAAATTCATCTTGATCATACTCCAGTGTCGGCGTTGGGGATCGAGCTGGACTAGGGAGGGGTGACACATCAGTTACGTCACTGTCTGAATCGCTAACGCTGGTATATGAATCGCTGTGCTCGCTCTTTGACGAAGAACTGTTTGTGCGACTTCGATTGGACTTTGACGTACTAGAGCCATGCGAACTTGAGCTGTCCCGTCTTCTAAAATGAGAACGTGGCCCTTTGGAGGTTTTGGGTCTATTTGATGCAGTCCTTGACTTAAAGTCCCCATCTCCACTTGAACATCTATCATCATTTTCCCAATTCCTTGAACTTGAAGAACTCAGATTCGTTTGCACTGGGTGTCTACTTTCATGTCGTCTGTCTTTAGCTAAGTATTCATCATCACTTGAATCTGAATACGACCCCTTTTTAGAGTAATAATTGTCCCTGTTACCGGTTGGTCCAGCTGACGGGATCTTGACACTGATACTGCTGCGACTACTGACGGCCGACCGCACGCTACCGGCGCTTTCAGGCCTGGCTTTCCCCGTCGTCAACGGACTCTCCCGTCGCCCAGCATACCGGTCGGATTTGACGACATCTTCGTCGTCTTCGGCGAAGAAATCAAAGTCTATCGGCTCTGGAGTTCCTTCCATATCCATATTTTACAGATATTGTCGACCAAAAATCGACAATTTGGGGTAAATTTGTATCGGAATATGCCAACAATCCGAAGAACCGCAACCAAAATTGTTTTCTAGCAACAAAATGCGTGAGGTCAAAGGTCAAATTCCACATTATGCGCATATACGGCTGTTTGCTGCTTTAAAAAAAAAACCAGCAACATTATTCTTTTAGAATGAAGTTGAGGGCGACAAACAAATCTTGTTCGTTTTGGAACAGCAAGCTTTCACTCATCCCTAGGGGGCGTGGGTACGAGCGAACATCAACTTGCTATAGAGCTTGAGATGGGAATAAATGAAATAACATGTATTGACAATTTCGAGAAAAAATATAAAGAACTCCAAAAAAGGTTAGGTCTGATATTTACAATTGTAATTCTCGAAAACAGTTGAAGTCAATTCAGAGAAAGTCTACGCAGTTTCGGCAACTAGTTCAAACTTGTGTTAAACTTCAGTCACGCTGGCTTAAGAGACTCGAGACAACTATGCCTCACCCCCCCCCCCCCCCCCCCCCCAACGATAATAACCCCCAACACGCCAGAGATTGGCCAACGGAAACCTCCCGGGGTAACTTTAAACATCCCTTAACCGAAAATATGCTTACCCCATAAGCAACCAATTGTTGAAACCTACCTGCTCACTTGCAATATAAAACCAATTTCCTTATTAAAAATATCAAAGTCAATGTGTCCACAAAGCTGCATCCAATTAAAAATTACATTTTCCCTTTCAAATCAAATCATAGCAAATTACCATTTAAAAACAAATCAGAGAATCACCACCGTAAACAGGTAAAGCACATTCGTAAATTTAATTCCATCCACTGATTTATGAGCTCAGACATTCTTGCACCACTCGATCACATACAGAAACTTATTTTTGATAACTGTTTCGACTTTACCTCATATTAAATAACTCATATTTAAGCTACATAATGTGTTTAAGGTACAATTAATTTAATATTGCATAGAAATATGCGTTTAGACAACGCCACGCAACACTGTGCAGTACCATAGGAACTTTGCCGTAAATTGCGCATAATTTAACGGCCGACACCATTGATCTAGTAAATTACAACAGTACAATACTTCAAGCAAGAAAATGCAATGTCACAATGATATCTTGTCGTTACAGTAATTTAATCCGAACAAGTACTGATTTTCGTTCATGCAACCTGCAATGTTTACTGTAGTACCTAACAGAATGTTTTGTAGAAAATAGCCCCACGGCCGGGAAACAAACAAATATTGGCAAGCCATTGCACATTGTTACAATGCAAGCGTGCATGCGTCACAAAACTACAGGTTCATTTTGCACCGATTTGTACCTTGGGGCGTGGCCACGCACATTATTTTTTTTACCTTAACGCAGCATACTACTGTACTAGCAGGTCACCTAGGCCATCCGTACCCGACCATATGGTGAAATTTCGGTGACTGGGCGGTGCCACATAATACCCATTGCGCAGGTCAATCTCAATTCATCCAATCAGAATGCGTGGTCTTCTCTATCGGCACGAAGATTTAATGACACTACTAACTATTGGATAAAAGTTTTCACGCACGCAGTATTTTAAAGCAGTGACTGCACCAGTCGCATATAATGGATAATCTGGCACACACGATGAACAATAAGGGACATTTATAAATTATGTATTTACACAATTTTTTTGTTACAATTGGTATTGAGAAGTCCAACAGACGGGAAATTCGATATCTGACAAACATTTTTTTGGTGCTCTGTTTACATTTACTTTTTTTTCTGTATAGTTTAGAATTATACAAATGTACTCTTCACCCTTGCAAAATCCAACCCCCCTTTCCTCAAACTTAAAATCTCTGTGTGTTTATCTTTGGATTTTTGGGGGAGTACATGTACTTTACAACTATTCTTTCACGGTTTTTTTCCTTTGAATTTTTACTTTCAAGTCATGCATGCTTTGAAACACTGAGAGGCTGCCCTCCCATGACATCACTAACACATTATTACATTACATCAGCACATATAGAAGAATGAAATCGGAATAGATTATTTTATTTGAGGGTTATTTAGGTTACAGTTTCCGATCGTTTACTGAGGTTATACATTTTGGACTCCTAGGGCTTATACAATTTTCAAATATCTAACAGTGTTGGGGAGGGAGGGGTAGTAAAGGGTGAAGTGAAACAGGGGGCGGGGTTGGATGTTTGTGAATGGCCACAAGACACCAAAGTTCAATCTGGTGCCCCCTCTCCCCACTCCTCCTACTTTTGTTAGATTAAGCAAAATGTCCCCAAATAAACAACATTTTGAAATCATTTTCCCTCATCCCTTATTTTTTTTTCAACCCCCCTCCTTCACAACTTGATTCCAACTATTCCATGTTGGACAAATATGCATTTATCAATTCCCCCAACCGCCATATAAACTCTTCCCAAAAACTTTACAAAGGGGTTGCACAACTTTTTTTTTGGGGGGGGGGATATGAATTTATCCATCTTGTATATATACCCCATGCAATGGATTATAGACCTTTATCATGCTGCTACCATTTCAGTCATGTTCCCTGTATCCAATAATAGTACTGAATGTAACTTTTTTGTGCAAAAAGGAACCAGACTATTTTTCCTTCCAGCCTCGCTTTGGTTACATTGATTTAAATGGGAAAACATATTGATGGCCGCAACATGATAATGGTCTATACTACCAGTCTCACAGGGCATTCTTAACCTCGGTTTCATCTCCAGCTTTGGCTGAAATCTCCTTAAGCCCGAGCAGGAGGCGAGGCCTAAGTTTTGAAAATGTGGGACTGTCCTAGCTCGGTTTGACAGGTAGCTTGCAGTATACAGGTACCGTCACACGCTGGCTAAGCCAGTCAACCCAGCTGCTGCTTGTCTGACCAATCAAAATGGAGCACTGTACATTGCCATGGCAACCAATAACTGAACGGAATGGATAGAATTTACAGCACACAATGCAGTCTTACAAAATACCCCTCTTAAATACTTTCGTTGTTAAACAGAGAAGAAAACTTGAACTTTGTTTTTAAATAAAAATTGGTTATATTTTGTTTTCATATGGACCAATAAACATAACAAAACATTGGGCGGAATATAGTTTGAGTCATTAGTGGATTTATTTATGAGTGACAAAAGGCAGACTACAAAATATGTGTTAGTTGAAATACAAGAATGGATTAACTTCAGCTTTTTAAAAAGAAAAAAAAAACTTCTAAGAAGTATAAACTAGAAATCAGAAAATGATTTCAGAATCAGAATCAGAAAATAAATTCTAAATGATAAATTTTTGGGGGGTTAAAGAGCTTTGCTTGAGTAGGAAGAAAAAAATAATTCCGAACAGCTTTTGGCTACCATGACAAGGTACAAATGCAGAGGCTAAACAGGACAGCACCTAGGCCCACTTAGATCCAGCGCCGGCCAGTGTCAACCTGTTCAATCCAGTTGGTTCCGGTTCCCGTTCTCAGCAATGTTACATGCAGAGAGCTTGCTTTCAATGCTTTTAATAATGATTTCATTTTTTTTTTTTACTTTTGTTAATGAAAGCCCACGCATAAGTGAGTGCATATTTAAACTACAACCCAATGTGTTAATGTGAATTTTCATAGTCTATTTAAACACGACGGCTCTATGAAATCTGTAAAGCCACATGACACAATTATGAATCAGTTGGGTTGCAGTTTATTTATTCTGACACAGATATTGTAAAAATCTAGGGCAGCCAAGCTCGGGAGTAAATAGCCAGTTGATGCGTGTTTTATAGAGCGTATCAGAAGCAATCTTAATATCTGGTACTGATTCCAAATCTGACTTATCTTCATTTGAAATTAAGCATTAGAAATGGAGCATTAGACATTTTGGATACTTTCTTCCCTTTTTGATTGACCATATATGAATTATCAGCCTTGTGTGAATTCTTGGCAGCTATCTCAGCTAAAAATGGCACCAACTTGACATAGAGTACAAAAATATCTGCCTAATTTGTAACATTTGTATAGTTCCAAGTCAAGACAAAGAGCTAACTCATTTAGAAGGAAACGGGATAAAAAAACCTATTTCATGGCACCACAATTCTGGACACCACAGATTATAGTCCTTGTGTTTTAGTAATAAGCTTTCTCTACTTCCCAAGCTGGGCTGCCAGCGGATACAATAGGGAGGTTTCGCAAGCGAACGGATACGCTTACACTTACGCTTAGCTATCCGTATCCGTTTTTTACCTACGTGTAGCGAGCGAGATATGCGTGTCGTCTGCACGTTTAGCGAATAGTGAGTGGCGTATGACGTCATACGTGCAGACGACACGCATATCTCCTTCGCTACACGTAAGTAAAAAACGGATACGGATAGCTAAACGTAAGTGTAAGCGTATCCGTTCGCTTGCGAAACCTCCCTAATATCTGTGATGCTACAGCACTCTTTGTCATAGTTGAAAGAAGAAAGGCACGGCAGTGTTAGAGCATTAGGATTCTTGGATATGGAATAAAATCACTTCAAATAAACTTTTTTCTATTTTACACCATTGTACAATTTTCTGCAACTTTTTACAAACAAAGTTTTTTTGAAGTATTTTGGCAAATTTTGGCACACCAATATTTGTATTCACAAAATATGTTCTTTGTCAAATTGTTTTGTTAGAAATTCTCTTAATGTTGTCCACATCTTTGGAATGAGAAAATCAGCAAAAGAACAACAAAAACAGCGGTTGAAATGAAAACATGCACATGCAGTGTTAAAAGCATTCAAGCAATTGCAATAAAGAACATTTCAGCCATGACTTTGTAAGGGAAGGGGAAAGTGGGGCAAAACTTTGAAGTTTTTAAACTAGGTCTGTCAATTGTTGGGGTGGAATAGTTTCATGATCAGAATGCAAAAGGTATGTTAAACAAGCACGCAGCATGCAACATGTTCAAAGATCACAGAGGGCAATTTTCTTTGCTTTTCAGTGAAGGTAAACACAGAACTACTTCAAGCCTTAGATGTGAAAAGCTTTCCATTTTAAAGCATGGTACTATGATGTTGCAGTGTTCGATACCTCTTATACCAATTCAACACATAATTTGGGATAGCAATACTTGTAGTAAGACAGATAAGCCAAGGTGAAGAAAAAAATACAAAACAAACCAAATAACAAAAGTGCATAACAAGATATCACCATTACTGCACACAAACATATGTATTTACATCCCAGTCAATGCTAAAAGAAATATATATTACATCTTTGTTTTATAATACAAATAAATATACAAGAATGACATTTTTGAACCAAAAAGTACAAAATAACTCCAGCAAGCACGACTTTAGGTACTGTACAAATGTCTGAAAAGAAATGTACATTTTGTACAAAAACTGTATGCAGGCAAAATTGGAACAAAAATGTCCAAAATAAAAAGGGTGCATTAAAAAATAAAATTAACATCCCATGCCAAACTTGTGAACTATTTTGAGCTTTTCAATATTTTGGCAGATATTTTGATTCTTGAACTGAAAATTCATGAGATTTTTCACAAATTGTGAATGTGTGATTTGCATATCATTTGCATAAAATGTAAATATACAATGATGCATTATGCTGTCTATACATCGGCAAACATGACTGGCTTAAACTTGCCTCCCATTTTTGCTCTTGTATTTTCACAAAGTTACAATGAGCTGGCTATGCTACACCTGTTTACACAAATTATCCATATTTCACTATTTCATTTTTGTATTCTTAACGCATGGAATCTACTAATTCCCTTGCGGTGGCACAGTTTGTTTCTATGAGTGAAATCTAAAATCACTAATATATCACAATTTACTTTCAGATCATCAGAAAAAATTGTGATTATTTTATGAGTAACAATGTACTCTGAATCATTCAGTGTCACACAGTAAATCTGTCAAACAGTACAAAAACCTCTTTTTGTTAATTCAAAAAATCTGTTTTTTACGTCGAAGCATCAATCTGAAAGAGTATGCAATGAGTGATCGGCAATTTTACATTGCTTCAGTTTGTTTTTTATATTTTAAGCTTCGCAACATCTTGGAGCTTAACTTCATTTTTTTGCAATTTAAGTACCACATACTTTCCACAAAGTCAACTTTCATCATACAATTTTGATTAACATCCGCACTTGGATCTGTAGGTGTGTGTGACATAACCTGGGACAGAATAGGACTGAAAAGTTTCAGCGGTACTATCCTTGTTTGAGTTTTGGACTTTTTGTCATAACCAGCTCATTTGTCTACGTCTGCCATGCCCCACTCCTTGCAGGGCTTCCATTACACAGCATATCCAGCAGGCCTCTGCATGGAACATAGGGACACTCGCGCACCTTCTACTGCAAGTACTTGTATACCTTAACGCAGTGGTTACCGGAGTCGGCTACCGCTACGTAGCCGTCGCTGGTCACAGCGATGTCCTGGGGGCCGTAGAGCGGATCACCCGTGGTGTTGACGTAGGACAGGAAGGAGCCGGCGTGATCAAAGACCTTTAAGATTGAGATGGAATAGATGGAGAGATGGAGAAGAAATGCAAAAAAGTGTGAAGATTTGACATGGTTACATCTTTAGAGAGAGTTGGTTCAAAGAAGAACCATGCATTTTACCTAAGTTGGCTTTTTCTCAACAGTAACATATTTTATTCACAATTCCATAAACATCCATTTCCCTCCCTCCCCTGCCCCCCAAAGACGGCATTTCAAACTCTTACACCACCACAAAAATATGAGGTATGCAAGTTTACCTGTCTAACACCAGAGTCAATCAATCACATGTCAATCACAAGTTAACTACAAGTCAATTACAAGTCTCTTACAAGTGACCACATGTCAGTCACAAGTCAAATCACCAGTCAGGTCACAAGTACGAGGGGACTAACTTGAGACTGGACGAATTATGATGACCTACAACTCCCTCTGAGACAGATATTACCTGAATCCTGCTGTTACCCCAGTCAGCCACGATGATGTTACCAATCAGATCCGCAGCTACGCCTGTGGGAGCGTTGAACTGACCGTTACCCTCACCCCTGGATCCGAACATGCTCACTAGCTGACCGTCCTGCTCAAAGATCTGAGGAATCAGAAAGGAAAACGTGGAAGGATGCAATCAGTCAAGATGCTGTTAAGTGCTAAGGTGGACGGCGTGGGAAAAAATGAGTTTGGTCTCATCACCAACATATGGTTTTTTGGGGGGGATCAAAATGTCAGTTGATAAGTTGATACCGTATTAATATGGGCACCATGCGTGAATAAAAGGCCTTTTTTTAACCGCTTTTGAGAGCACCCTGATGAACAGGGCACACTGCGTACACATACTGGCTCGTGTGCGTCTAGCGTGAAATATGCACAACTAAGTTTATGCTGAAAGTGCATCTTAGCGTGAGTGTCAGCAATGCAGTCAAATGTCTCTCCCAAGTGGTAACCCCTAACTCTCCCTTTCTTACAGCTAAGGGGGTACTTGTGAACGGAGCCCATTGTTTGGTGTAGGCTTGGGTCTCTTTTTAGCAAGTCTGAAAAACAACGAAAACATGGAACTTTCAACCTGAAACACACCATATCCCTTTAAAGAAAATCACAAATGGTTAATTCTGAGACTATTTTTGAATGAGTTGGTCCAGACTGAAATGGACTCACCTTGATGCAGTGGTTATGGAAGTCAGAGACAACAATCTGGTTGTTGTTGTTCACAGCGACGAAGTGCGGACCACAGAGTTGTTGATCCTCAGCGCCCCGAGAGCCGAACTTGTTGAGGAGTTTCCCCGTTGATGTGAAGATCAGGATGGAGCTGGACTTGTTGTCAACGACGATGATGTTGTTGTTGCCGTCCACACAGACACCCTTTGGACCAATCAGCTTTCCCGTTCCAATCTTGTTGATGAACTTCCCATCCACTCCGAAGATGTTGACCCACTTGTTGTCGTAGTCTGCGACGATGTAGTTACCAGCGGCTGTGACGGCAACTCCTGTCGGTCGTTGCATCTGACCGTTGCTACGCCCACGGATGCCAAACTTGTGCTTGCAGTCCCCGCTGTTAGTGAAGACTTGCACGCATTGGTTGTTGCTATCGGCAACCACAATCCTCCCACCATTAGCCGCTGTGCTAGCCACGCCCTGGGGATTCGTAAACTCCCCCTTGTTGCGCCCTCTCTGACCAATAATCAACACAAGATCATCCTCAATGGGGTTGGTTTTGCGGTAGACTCTCAGCGAGCCAGCAGCGCTCTGCGGTCTCCTCATTGCACGTTGTTTCACATTACTTCTTGGGATCTTACTCGTTGGGGATTTAGGACTTGAGGAGCTACTCTCCCGCATCACACGTAACTTGAAGGGACTTCCCTTGATATGTCGTCCAAAGAGTTTAATACTCAATTGATGGGACCCCTCCCTTGGGATCATGTACAGAACATCGTAAGTACCATTCTTGTTATCAATCACTTTTGCATGGACCTCTCCATCCCCTGAATGCAGCTGAGCTGTCACCACCGCGTCTCCTGTCGTAACTAGCACCCCTTTGTAGTTCTTAGTAGTGACTGTAGCCACCATCTGTTCCCCGCAGAAGGCCCGCTTTAGCCCCTCACCAACCGCCACTGTCTCATGAGCTACGGCGCTGTTGCTGCGTATCACTCCCAGGTTTGCTAACGTCTTTTCCATCTCTCCAATACCCCCGATGAAGCTGATGAAATCATTCTCCTGGGGCTGGAGCTGAGTGCACTGTTCCGTCAGCTCTCTAAGACGCTGACCCATCTGCTTACGGACCAACAAGATCTGCATCTCATTCCCACTCCTCAACGCTTGCTCGGTGAAGTCACAATTATGCTCGATGCTCAGCAACTCTTGCTCTAACACCTCCTGTTGCTTCTGAAGAACTTCTTGCTTGGATTCGTGAGTGGATTTCAGTTCTTTAATCAATGTCTCCTTTCTGTCTTGGATGCCTCGTTCCAGAGTGTCAAAGGAAGTCAGGATCTCTGTCTCTGCCTTGGTCTTCTTGTCTTCCAGACTGCCATTGATGATTGTCACTCGCTCTATTGCATCCTGCAGACGTGGAATCTAGAGACAATTTGTGTAAGTATCGAGAATGAAAACAATTTGAGTTTGCCTACATTTGAAATACAATTATCAATTTCAATCTAAGTATGGAAAGCTTACTCAGTTTCATCAAGTAATTTCAATTTTCAAAGCCATGACGTATCACTTGGCTGTTATCAAATGAATAAAAAAAAAAAAAAAACATGAGACAAATGAAACAAAAAGATTATGTATACTTGAAGAATTGAAGGACAAAACCCAATTTATCCTTAACCAAAAATGTCATCTTTCATAACTCCTTTTCTGGCTTCTATAAAATTTAATTTGTTATTAATTTCTTGGCTTAAATCTGTAAGCAGATCAACCTTTTTCACACATGACTACATTCTATATTACCTGATCCTTTGCTTTATCCAGTATACTCCTCAGCACTTCTTTATGTTCATCAATGATGTCACTCAGAAGCACTGTAGGGTGATCCACATGCTCTGACATCGTGCATTCCCCGCACACAGCCGTCTCGCAATCATCGCAGTAATAATCCAAGGGCTCCCCCTCATGACTAGAACAGCAAGGCACCACTCGATAGGGTTGGTCCCCTCCGCTTGCTCCCTCGTCTCCGCTACTACTATCCGGACCTTCTAATACCTCCATCAGGTTCGTGATGAAGAAGTTGTTTTGTAAGCCGGTCACGCCCTCGATGGGAAGAATAGATTGTTGTCGGCAGAGCGGACAGGAGAGCGTTAGTGACTCAGCCGGCACGTAGTTCTGCAGGCACTTCTGGCAGAATGTGTGTAGGCAGGGTAGGACTTTAGGGGTGTGGTATCGCTCTAGGCAGATGCCACAGACCAGGAACTGTTTGTCGATTTGCTTGACGACGGGGCTCTGTGTCGCTGCCATGGCGACAGGGTCAGTGTCACTGCTGTATCACTCTGGTGACATGATGTCAAAGGCCTGTAATGTTTAACGGGAAGGAAAAAACAAACGCTCATGTTTCCAAATCAAATCAGGGTCGGTGTAACTGCTGTATCACTCTGGTGACATGATGTCAAAGACCTGTAATGTTTAATAGGAAGGAAAAAACAAACAACTTTAATACAAACGCTCATGTTTCCAAATCAAGTGATCAAACAAGTCAAGGTGCAGGAAAGTAGTCAATATTCACTGTTTTGTTATAATCTCATTACATCCAATTCAAGAAAGCATATATTTGCGCGAGGATGCACAATACATTTTTTTCACAACTCAAAATGTTTTAACGTTTATTGTACATGTATGCCCAAAAGAAATAGGTGATGTGTACAAGAAAGATACACACTACTTTCCAAAACCCCTTCATCCCATACATAAGAAGAACATATTTATAAGAAAATATTTATAAAGATATCTGTCATTATTTTTTAAAAAATGTCTAGATAATAGAGTCTGGTGTATATTTCTTTTATTTTCAAAACAAACTTTCACTTATATGTCAACAAATTTCTTTCAAAGTTTATTTATTCTTTTTCATTTATTAAAATACTTATACTCTCCTTAACACATGATCTGCATCAGTTATTCAACCAAATTTATTGCAATCACGTTTTGACACAAGCAGGATCGTAACCCAGGGCAAAACTCTGATCACTTGATTACAATTCTCTTGGCTGAATAGATTAGTAAAAAGTATATTCTCTAGGGACAGAATTGAAAGGATTAAATTCTACTGAGACACTGCTTCTGTGGAGAGCCTAAACGTGACACTGCTACGTCCAAGTTACTTTCTCACATTCACAAGTGAGTTTCTTTTAGGCCGAGGGGCTGTTTGTAATGGGACAATATTCAACTCTACCCACATGCACCTGGGGCAGACAGCAGACGGGCAATGAATAAATTGGTTTTACACGGGGGAATAATCCTAGCAGCTAATTACACTAATAAGTGACTAGTCAATGTGACTGAATTGAGATTGGGTTTCTTATGTAGGCGTGACAATGGCGACTCTTGGGGGTAAAATGCAACGGCAAAGCAGGATGAAACGTTGTGACAGAAAACAACATGGAGTATTGATGTTTTATAAAAGAGAACCATCATCTTCACTGAAAAAAAGTTATCAACTATGAAGAAAATGGAATTCAAAATCCAATTACACAATTTAGAACTAATCACCTATGTGCCAAGTTAGACTTAAACACTCACTCAAATCCAATTATTAATATCCAAATTAACATCTTCATTTCCATATAGAACACGAATTGTGAAAGAAATTAATTTCCAAAATAAATACAATACAATAGGATCTATCTCTAATTGATGATCACATATTACCATTCTAACCCATGTACAAATGTACTACCTCCATCTCTCCACACTTCTTTCCACTTTTTCTTCCTTTTCCTGTTTCCTACACTTCTTCCTTTCCTCTCCAAAAACAGATGCTCGCATCCTATCGACTCCTCTACTTTGTCATTTTTTGTTTCCTCTCACCCCCCACCCCCAACACCATCACCTTGTTAGTATTGCAAGCACACAACCCCTTCTCCTTGAGTTCTGTCCTCCCGTGTTACTGACGTCAGAGCCATCACCTATACATCGTCAAGACGAGCTATGATTAGCCTTGGAGAGACACTTAATCACATTGGTCATCCGGTCGGGGAAGTATTCAGGAAAGATGTACAAATAGCATGATACATGTATGGCATGTTGCAGCTGCTCGAAGATTGGCCAAAACATGTACTTGTACTCAAATGGTTTGCGGCGAATAACGAATCGGGAGGGGGGGGGGGGGGGGAGGGGGGAAGGGAGAGTTGGGTGAATTTTGTTAACATTATTCTCCATGGTCAGACACAAATCCACACCCCAAAAAGTGCATAATCTATGTGTGAGATATATCTATCTAATATATCTTCCAAATTTGAGGTCTGGTTTTCAATTTTGAATCCTAAATTAACGAAAGCAAGGTCAATAACAAAATAGTTGTACACAATTTTATTCCCCATAATACATGCTAAGCAGGCAGAGTTTAACATAAATTCTCATCTTTGAATTCTTCACATTTTTTTCATAAGTAAAGCACCTTCTCTCATCTGGACATGCAGATATTATTGTTATTTCCTAAAATGTAGTCTGAAATGTTTTGTTTTGAATCTAAGGTACCCACAGAAATGTTTCTTTGATAACTGATGAGGCCACCCTTGTTGTTTAATTACGTTGTTAAGGCAAACATTTGTTAAAAACATACATGTATATGTCAGTTTATGAAATGGATAGTGCTCTTTCTGAGCTGATTCTCATTACAGAGCAATTTGGTAACTTCTGCTCATTTCCTGATTGTAGCAGAAAATCAATATCTGTGATGACTCATTTGGAAAGATGAAACCTGTCTAGCATCCCAGTTTATGATAAACCAATCCAATGAGCAGAAGCGACTATGATTTAATCATTCCCACTTCACAAAGTGCTCGTCAATCATTCCTGAGGTCTCATACCTCAATGTGTGATTATAACCTTTGCAATGAACCACCTTTTAATGAAATTGAACTTTGTCAGACATTGGGAATGTAAAAACTGCTTTTAATATATGATGAATGATTGGCATTTGTCGTGGAGGAGTGTTCTCAGGAGAAAGCTACAGCGTGATATCGTATTGCAAAGATAATCAGATATGGAGAGAGAGAACTTATGAGTGATATCGGATATTTTGTCGTGTACACCAGACATCTGTTTCTCTTTAATTCATTATTTATTCAACTCTAGAGTTCTGATGTCCTCATTTGAAATAACTTTGCGTCAGCGTTACCAAATTTTTCTCTGAAGCCAAAATAAGAAAAAATTCCTTTCCTACTTAAAATATATTTTACTACATTACAGCAACAAATGGTACTCTTCATGCTTCAAAACATAAAAATATAATTTACTAATTACAAATTTAACAATTTGAAGCTCATACATGTTTAGAAACATTATTTAGAGCAGAAAAAATGGGTAAATTGCTCGTTTGAAGAGGAACATTTCAGGGATGATATCTCATCATAACAGGTGTTCTTTGCTTCAATGATCCTCAAATATCCTCAAATATTGCAATTACAAAAAACACATCAAGCAAACTTGTGTGAGTCATACATGTACGTCTTACCGAAATTGATGAGTTTTCCGTACCGTGAAATAAAAGATCCTGAAAAATACTGCATAGGGGAGTTCCATGATATACGATGAGTAAATCACACAAAAAATGGCTCCTTTGATGCCAAGCCACGGCATTCAAACAGGTTTGCATCCAATATGCTCTTTAAGAAAGAGGAAAAAACGGATGCAGGGGAGGAAGATGAAGGGTCGGTATGACTCATCGACCATCATCAGACCCGCAAGATATAGTCGCAGAGGCGCGCATGGCCCCGAGGTACTGTATGTGCGTGGTGCGTGGATAACCGCTGTGATTATACAGCGTGTAGGTCTAATCAAGCAGGGAGTGTCATCTGGAGGGATTGGGTGTAACGATGATGGGCACAGGGGGATGGGGACAATATGGTGAGAATGTGCAAAAATGTTGGGTTTATGACTGGTTTGATAGTGTCAACGGTGTCAATGGTGTGTTGGAGTTGGCACTGTTGGTTATTGGAATCTTGAACGGTCACAGGAAAGATTTATGTTGAAATTGAAGAGTGTGAAAATGAATAGTCTGAAAATGAAAATGACAAGATAGAATTACAAATTAGAAATGAATAATCCATAAAAAGAATTTGTAGAAATTCAAATACACACCTTGACTTTACAGGTTTTAATGTCAAGGAAAATAATTATAAGACTTCAAATTTTACCTGATTCATAAAGTTGAGTTGAGGTAATGAATACTTAATGTTAATTGTACTTCATTACTATGTTATACTAAAAACTAGTGACAGACAGAATTACTGAGATTTCTTTCATTGCATCTGAATCATCTTTTGGCTTAATCACCCTGTTTCTTTGCAATGCCAAAGGACCACAATCAATATTGCAAATTGATTAGTTTCTGTGGCATTTAATCACCATAAATGATGCTTTATCAAATAATTTTAACCGCAAACCCTCCACATAAATAGTGTACATAAGAAAGACAATTGGGTCTTAGAAATATAAAAATATGTTGAAATCCACCTTGAATATCGTTCGAGCGCAAATAAAAATATGACTCATGCTGAATAGAAAGCAGTGCCCTTTCAAAAATTCAACATGCGCGATCTTGAAGATGACAATCTCATTTGAAAGAAATTTATGAAGGAACTGCAACAATTTTTCCCACAGGTGATTTAAAATTCACATCGCTCTCTTAACTCTAAAATCAGTAGAGACATAAGGAGGATGAAATAATCAAACATTTGTTGCTCATTATAGATTACACTTTCAATTACTCCATTCCGTCTCCAAAAAACTCAAGGGATAACATAAAACTTGAAACTACCACCTATTTGATTTTATTAGCTTTATTTCTGAGTTTTAAATACAGGAACATGATATCAAATGAATGAAAATCTATCATGATGGTACTAGTGAGGCCTTACCTAGTCAGTTTTGGATTGTTGCTGGTTTGATTTTCTTTAGTACACCTCCGCAAACCCAGGAAGTCATTTGTAAATTTATCAGGGCGGGCTGGGTATTCAGCAGAGATTTGGAAGCAGTGATGAAAATTTTAATTTATGCGCTACAATTCAAATGGGAAAAGGTATCCAACTTGCTCACTTACAATCGTAACTTTAAAATTTTGACAACTAAATCTAGAAGAAAACTGAAGTCCTGAACGACACCAGGGTTATGATCCTCTTAATCTACAAATACACTGTACATATATGTACAAGGAGAGGCAAATAATTCCTTCTACTTCCAGCAATGTTGGAGTAAAAGATACAAATCTACGCAATCCTTTGCGACCCAAACATGTCACGCTTACCTCTGAATTCTTCCGCTGTTAAACATTAACTAGACTTTGGATACCAATC